AAATCTCCTACTGAGATAACTCCGAATAATTCTGATTCAATTTTAAATAAGTATGATGGCGATGTGGATAATCTCGAGTTGGAAGTGGGTTAATTGAATTTACCACCTGAGTTAAACCCTTATTTAATTGACCCCGAATCCATTGACCTTAGGGTTATGACCAAAAAAGATCCTATTAAGAATAGTAATATGAGTTCGGAAGACAGTAATTTAAATTTGAAAGGTTCAGAGCCTAAGTTTAACAATGAACCTCCTTGTGTTTTATTAGAGTCTATTGCAGGAGTTAACCATCTAGATTTACATTTGAAATTGCGTGTCTTTTTTTATTAGACTTACCTCCCCATTCCTCATACCAACTTTAATGCTAGAGAGAGTATTTGCCTATACTTTCATGTCACCTCTCTGATTGTTGTGCCCACTTTTGTTTTAGGCAGTCTACCCAATCTTTTGAGTCCTACACGTACTCGTGGCTCTTTGGGCTATCCCCTTAAGGATGTGAGTCAGGACCCATCATCTTATCTTGTTCCTGATTCATTCATTTTGTCTGCTATATTCTTGTCCTACCTTGTTAAGGACCATCTCTCTCCTAGTTGGATGAATTTGTCAAATTACACTGCTGCCCATAGGAGACTATCTACGACCCTAGTTGAAAATTCCTATAGACATGCCCTTGTAGCTAAGAATGTCTTCATTGCTCCTCCTACACCAATTCCCTTAGACATGAACACTTTATATCCCCTCATTTTGTGATTGACCCATCGTTATCCCTATTTATGTGTGCTTGTGAGTCTGTATGATTGTATGTCTATTTTCTGTCGAGTTTGTCTCTGTTTAAAGCTTTGGTGTAAGCCCACAAGTCTTGTCATTCAGCATGCATACCGAGTCTGTCGCATCAGCATTTGCATCTCACCTATAGGAATTGAATAAAGAAATTTATAAAAAAATTGAATAAAGTAATGCTAATTATAAACTCAATGCGGATCTTAAGAGAATATTCAAGGAATTTAAGGTTAGAGATTCTGTAATGGTTCGGATCCGTTTGGAGCGATTCCCACAATGGGTTGTTAAGAAGTTACATGCTAGAAGCGCATGACCTTTTAAGATTATCTCAAAAATAAATGATAATGCTTATATATTATATCTTTCTGAAGGTCTTAATATTAATCCTGCATTTAACATCAAAGATCTTGTAACCTTTGAGGGACCAGAGTTTAACCCCACTAATCCACTAAATCATAAGCCTTGTGAGTCCATACCTAGTGAGAACCTCAGCCTACCCCCGCTCCCAAATATATCCACCTCACCCAATACGGACAAGATCAAAGCAATACTTAGCGATGAAATCATCTCCACCAAAGGTGGGGAGCACCGAAGGTACTTAGTTCAATGGAAAGAGAAACCAGAGACCAAGAATATGTGGATTGATCGTGTTAAGCTTCAGATATTGGATCCTGACCTCCTAGAGCTATACTAGAGCACTCTTGATGCTTACTTGACAAGGTCGAGTAATCTCCCACCTGGGGAGAATGATGAGAACATCAGTAGGAGATTCCGGAATGTCTATCATCGGAAGCAGCGCGGAGCAACGGCCTTGATCAGAAGTTTTTATTTTTTATTTTGTATTAGTGTTTCTTTAATTAGTTGTGACAATTGTACCCTTTATTTGTTTGTGTTTGAGTTGTAGCCCCGCGGGCATTTTTGTCTTTCTTTTCTAATTGTTTGGAGACCTATATATAAGGTCCTCATCTTGTATGAGAGGAGATTATGAATATTGAAATGAAATTTAGTTTTCTTTGCTTGATCTCTAAGTGAGTTCATGAGAGGAGAGACCCTAGGTGGGTGAGAGGAATACCCGTCAACCTTCGGTGGATTCCAAGATTCGCGACGCCATTCTTTTCTTTTCTAATTTTGCTATACTTTCATCTCCGCTCCTAGCCCATACCCGCCGGCCTTCCAGCCCCCCCCCCCCCCCACTCCCCTTCCCCCCCCCCCCCAATCCCCTTTCCTCCTCCCAAAACCTAACCCCACCCTTGTGCCACCGGCCATCAACCCACCACCCAAGGATTTTGAATTTCAAATTTCAAAATCGTCCATAATTACTTTCCTTAATTGCGTCGTCATTAATTTGAAAAGTTGCTTCATGTAGATTCAAATTCAAATTTGAATTCTAAAACTTTCCCTATTAATAACGTATATTAGGAAACCTCCTAAACCCATTAAAATTTGAAATCAATTTCATTTTTAATAACAATCCTCAATTAAATCCTTTTCGGTCCCACATATTAAATGCAAACACCTCAAATTTCCCCTCATGTGTCCGACCCCCCTCTCTAGCACATTCTCTCTCCAATTTTTGCCACCTAGACCCTCATTAAATCTCCATTAAATTGGCTGCCCCCCAATCAAGCCACCCTTATTGGAATTAATTTGAATTTCAAATTGAAGATTCAAATCCCTCCCAACCCCATGCATGCCGTTGGCCCCTCCATGGGATCTCCCTCCTCTCTCTCCTAATTAATCTCCCTCCACTTGAATTTGATTTTCAAATTCCAAATTCTTAATTCCATTTTCCTATTTTACTAAAATCTGAAACTAATTTCAGATTTTGTATTACTTTCCGTCTCCAAACCCAAGCCCTAACTCCACCAAAAGCAAGCCCCTCTTCCCTTAGCCACCCCTTCTTCATTCCCACCTCTTGGAAACCTTTTTTGCCTCATGAACTACACTCCAAGAAAGAAGAATGCCTCCCTCCATCGACAACCCCTTGACTAGTGCATGGCCGATCCGAATCGTGATTGTGGATTCCTCTACGACAATCAAAGTTTAGTGGATATTCATCAATCCACCTTCTTCAACCTCAATCCATAAGTGGATAACTCTATAGTAGATTACATCAATCACCTCTTATTCACGTTGGAGTCATCAATTGAAGAGCATCTACCATCCGGAAGTCGGCGGAACATTTGATACCCACCCACATCTTCTCCCTCTTTGGCGAACTTTCGTTGGACTACTAACATATGTGTCTTCTCAACGTTGGTGGCAACGCGTGGTTTGCTAAGATTCTTTTCTGCTAACCCTATTAGACGAGCTTGAGTGAGGGAAACTCAAGGTGACTTTTCTATTTGTTAAGTATGGGATCTCTTGTTTACAATATTTAAGTTTATCTTTATGATTGAGATCATTCTCAAGTGATTGTTATTCTATCTTGTAAATGATTGCCTTTACATTATTGATGGTCTTAAGTCTAAGCATCTAATCTTGTGAAACATTAGTTTATATTGCAAAGCTTAAATCAATTTCTTTATAATCTCTAATGCAATTCCTTTTGGTTTCACATCACCTTATCAATAAGCCAATACAAATAAATACACCAACAGTATAAAGTCATCAATTTTAGAAATTGTGATTCAAGTGCAAGAACCAAGTAGGATGGAAAAATCAAATTGCAACCATATTCAATAACTATAATGTTAACTATGAATTAGAAAGCTTCATAAAGGCTATGATGGGGATAACAAAAATAAGTAATTTAATTATAAGTGACCAAATGATATTTATATGCTTCAAAAAATACACAGGGTGTGAAAGTTATTAGATTCATAAACATGAGATTCTAGGTTATGATAAGATTACAGTAATCTTAATATAGAATAAATAAATTGCTTTTATGAGCACAAACCAAGTCTATGATGCTATCCTACATCTTTGAACTCAAATTCAACCAAAGGATAAGCTTAGTTTTCAACAAAAGATAAAAGAAGACTTTAGGGCAATTTTTAAAATACATATTAAGTAATTGCAATTGGTTTTAAAATACATATGATGGTTTTTTTCCAAGTCAAATGCCCCCACCATAAATTTTGTGGAGGAAGTTTACCTATAATGTGAATTTCTCAAACTATGAATAGCTGCTAAGTAATAACATATGTTCTAATTAGTAGCAAACAAGCTCAGTACTTGAAATTCAGTAGAAAAATGAATCGAAATAATCAACTGTTTGTCAAACTCAACATATGTAAAAAAGATAAGTTTGTAAGTCAATACCAAATCAGTAATCTTTTCATCCACCTGATTTGGATAAAAGATGCTGAAGGAAACATTTTCTATCCGGCAGCATTAGCTTAGCATCTAACCAATTAATGTAGTCTGATGATGGCATTTGATTCTCATAGAATGAGCAGAAAAAATCTAAAAGACGAATCACCTTATTTTGCTCTCAGTTCTAACAATAGCACTTGTTACACATAACATATTTGCTTACTTCGAACCACAATAAAGAGGATGTAGATATTGCTCATGTAGTCTGCTTAAACATTTTGCAAAACTTAACCTAAGATAATACAAAGCAGAGTATAAAGATGCATAATGATAGAGGCATAGCAGGACAATTCATAGGCCTGCTAACTTCGTAGTAATCAAAGAGCAAAACACTGCCCTCTTCATGCAAACACCAAACATTTTGCAACAATTACAACTAAGAACAAATCAAATCAGATTTTCGCTCAAAAGTGTTCCCAAGGAGCTGTTTGGCTTCAAGTAGAATTTAAATCAACTAGGACTTCAAAAATCTTGTGAATCCAATTTGGAGGCATTAAATCCTTAACTTTTTAACATTATATATGCTCAATCCACTTAAACCCTAGTAAATTGTTTTGCATAAATTTTAAAATTTTATGATTTAAATGATGAAAAACTGGATTTAAGAAGTTGGTAGGATTTCTGTGACTAAAAAAATTGTCATGAAAGATTTAGCCTAAATCATTAAAAACTATTGCAACCAAACAGTCCCAAAAATAGAAACTAGCAAAGAACTATCACAACAAAAACATTGACAGTCACAAGTAAAAAAGGAAACAATATATTTCGTGACCCTACATATTAAATAATACCAATATCTTCACGTACCTAGAATCAAAATGCAAACAAAAATAAAAATAAGATGCTAAACTCCTGCAGGATAAAAACAAAACAAAACAAAAAACAAAACTCCCGCCTACCATATGCGAGCCGCAACTTTTGGGGTGCCGGCCACTGGAAACTCCGCCACGGGACCGCCGTGAGTGATCACCATCCTCTATTCGGTTACCGCGGCGGCTATCTCGCCCGCTGCGGCGCACATCCGGATCCCGATCGGTATGATCACTCTCGAGCGCGCCGATCGGTTCCTGATTTCTGCGATTTGGAGACCTCAATACGTACAAGAGCTGTAGAGCACTAGTCATGCAGCTAGTTCTCTCTAACTCTTCGTGACCACGCTTCAGCAGTGAGTGAGAGGGGGAGTAAAAGAGGAAGGCGACGGAGAAAGCGATGCGAAGCACAAATCGACGAAGTGGGGAGTTGGTAGCGTGGATTTTGGCATCGGAAGCAGAATGTGCGGAGAAAAGTTACTTAAAAGGCGGTTTCAAGGCCCAGATATTTCACCTAAAGCCGTTTGGGATCACTGTTAACTTCTATTTTTTAAAAATTATATTCTATTAATATTTGATATAAATATTTAAAATATTTAAAATATTTATTTTTATTTTTATTAAATATAATCGCTGGCGGGCATCAAAGATTGCCAGCAATATTATGATAAAATATTTAAATAATTTGATTTATATTTAAAATTAAAAAATTCACTTTAAATAAATATATTTTAAAAACAAAAATAAGAAATAAATGTGGGAGCCCGATAATGTGGGACCCGCCCGATGAGGATGGGAATTGGCGGGTCAGCGATAAGGATGGATAAAGCCAGTGTCGTAATTGATAAAGATCTTGAAGTTATAATAATTGTTTTAGATTAAATTTTGCTTATATTAAATACGTGCAGCACACCCAATATTTTAAAAATATTAAAGTCAATAGCAACTATTAATGTCTTTCTTAATTAGAAGAGTTGAAGCTTATTTTTTTTTTAATTATGGAGTGAAATTATTTACATAAAATGCATAAAGCTGTAGCTGAAAAAATATAAAAAAAAATTTGTTCCACCTCTAAATTTTATGATCTATAATTCTCTTAAAGCAGCTTTATTGTAAAAAATTAACATTTTTATGCTAAGAAGTT